GTGATGTAAATACCAAATTTTCCGTAGTTTTGAGGCATACTAAGATCCTACTTGAGCCTCAATTTTTGAAGAAAATACATTTTGGAATAATATTTTGATGGAGAATGCGTGGTTAAGAAATAAGAATTTTTTTTGAATTTTGCGTGTAATATTATTTTATTGAAGAATATGTAAGGGTCCGTTTGATTGTAAGGATGTAATTTGAGTGGAAAGAAAATGAATTCTAAGGAATTAAATTGCATAGAATTCATTTTATTGGGAATTGTCAATTAATTGTGTTTGATTAGTATAATTTTGCACCTAGAAAATGTTGAAATTTTGGATCTTTTAATGTTCGTTTGATTTTGTTTTCCATGAAAATTGTCCATTAAAGGAATTTTTTTTTTTTTTTTTTTTTTTTAAAATTAAAAAAAAATTTTTTTTTAATNTTTTTTTTTTTTTTTACAATTGGGGATAAAAATTGTTTCCATTGCAAAAAAAAAAAAAGGCTGGAAAACCATTTCCCATCAAAACCACGGGAAAATGAATTCCTCAAAAATCAAGAATTGTGTACGTGTGGGCCAAAATGTGAAAATTCAATTGCCAAGAATTGTTGGCCAATCAAACATATAATTTGTGTGGAAATGAAATTTCTTTTCCATTTTCCATGGAAAACCACCCCAATCAAACATGGCCTTATAATTGAAAATAAGAAAGAAAAAAAATATGTATTTTAAAATTAATAAGGACCAAACAAGAGCTAAAATTCACTTAGCCCTTATTTGATTCTCATTATTTCAAAAAAAAAAAAAAAATCTCTATTTTCTTTTCAACCACACATTCTTCAATAAAATAATATAATATGCAAATTCAAAAATTTTTCCTTCTTTTTAACTACGCATTTAAAAAACATAGCTATAAACAAATACCTTTTTCTCTAAAATCTAATTATAATGGAGCTCANAAAAAAAAAAAAAAAAGGGATTCAAACATGTGCTTAGTGGGTTTTATCCGAGGCCAGTTGGTACCAAAAGATATTGCACGCCTATGCATTGGATCCTTGGGGTTGGGGTGGGCGGGGTAGGTGTAAGTGTTTGCCTTTTCACTGTAGGTAGTGTGAGTAGGTTTGGTTGTGAAGAATTTGAGGTCCATTCCATGATCAATCACCTATGTGATGTGATTCCACTATTTTTTTTACTAACTGCTCTCCATTGCTAAATCATTCTATACAAATTCAAAAATGATTGGGTAATCTATTTCATTTTGTGGGTCCTAATTGTTCTTTTTCTTTGTCTTTAAGCAATTGTCATCTTCGACTTGGATGATTCTAATCGAGGATATTCACCATTAGATGTTATCGATAGGAGATATATTGTTCAAAATCAAAATTGACAGTTGAGGGATAAATTTAAATACCAACCATCGATATGGCAACACCACATGTTGCCACATCGACGAGTAGACAACATAATTCTTATTCACTGTGTACAGAAAATCAATTCTATGTATGTCATACAATATACTTCTTCAGCGATGCCAAATTATTGGGGTTTTTCTTCTTCTGAAGTCGTTCAAATGAAATATAAATTTAGAGAAGTAATATGTAAAAGAGTTGAAGCCTCGTATGGAGAAAGATCAACCTTATTTTAATGAAAACATGAAAATTTGTAAGGTCGGATCTTTTTTAACAGATTAATCGAATATGGCAATTTTTTTTCATTTTCCTTTAAATTTTAATATTTGTTAGCTTCTTTTGTTAACAAGGACAACCACATAGAAAATAAAGATCGAGAACAAAATGTCAATGTGTCACAGTCATAGAAATCAATCTTGAAACGGAAGTTGACCTGGCCAATCTGCCGGGTCAAAAGTTTGAACTAGCGGGTCGTTGGGTGGATTCACATGTTAACATTTTGTCATTTACACGTTAAATTTTTTTAAATTATTAAATAAGCTCCTGAATTATTCACACGTACTTAAAAAAAAAAAAAAAATCTAAACGTGCCAACGGGAGTTGATATTTTAGCCCATTATTAAATTTTATTTATTAAATAATTAATTTAAAATATATTTTATTAATTAAATATATGAAGTTCACAATTCTATACGATTTGGTCACAAATTATTTTTCAATCACTATTAATTAAATATATTAAAATAACAATTCTATACAAATTGATCACAAATTATCGAATTAATTGATCACAAATTATTTTTCGATCACAAACTAAGAATTTTATAAGTCACAAATTATTTCATGATCACAAATAAAAAAAAATTACAGGTCATAATTTATTCATTGATCACAATAAAATTTTTTATAGGTCACAATTTATTTATCGATTACAAATCACAAATGTTATATTACAACTCAAAATTTTAGATCACATTATTTATTGATCACAATTTATCAGTCACATGTTATTTTTTTTATCACAAAAAATCCGATTTATTGGTTGCAATCTCAAATAATTGGTCACAAACACTCTTAATCCCAACGTCTACTCTACCCAACCCTAGTCGATCATGACACCAATCGAAAGCAGCTCCACCTCACCACCACCGCTAGCGCCACCACTACCATCGCTGCTGCAACTTCCAACAAACTACCATTTTTCAACTTTAAAATCACCATCACCACCACAACCACCAACAAGATCCAACATCGTCGCCCAAAACACCAGATCGTAGTTGTACCAATCGCCACTTAAACACCAACAAAAGCCCTGCCCAAACATCAACAAAACCGTCGCTGCCAACAAGATCCAACACCGCCACCTAAACACTAGATTGCAAGCACACCAATCGTCGCCCAAATGCCAACAAAATTACCACTCACACCAAATTTGAACACAGAGAGAGCGAGTGGAGCATAGAGAGGAGGGAAGATAGAGATAGGTGACTAATCGCTCATCTAGCAGCGTTGACGACATCTCCGTTCCTGCAGTGGCGATGTCAATATTTGTTGCAGCGACGTAGACGATATCGAGCGAGCGTGGTGGCGGCGTGAAAAAAGTGGCGACCATCATCACCAGTGGTGTGGTGGATAAAGGTAGAGGATGGTATATAAATTAATTTAATTTTATAATATTATTTTTAATATTTAGAATTTTAAATATGTCTAATTTCTTAAAAGAAAACTTGTATCTCTTAATTGTGAATTGAGATACTGAAAATACTTAGTCCATGTAATTTCCACTAGATGGAATAATTTGGACCTCTTTTACGAGAACTCTTCCAAGTAATGTTTTGCAAGTCAATATGAGAAAAGAAAGACTGAATCGATTGGCGCCATACATTTATGGCACATTCAGTAGAGAGAATCGAGTAGCATTAGACCTAAGAAATAATAAAAAATAAAAATTGTTATTAATATATGTATATAGCTTATTCTATTTATTTCTAAAACTAATTAAACTAGTTAATATAAAACGGTGTAATGGTAAAAATTTAACCACCATTTTTTTTACACTTTCATGACATGGTGTATTGGTTTTGACATGTCAGATAACAATACATGGAAAATTTCAATCAAATTTCATCAATTTGGGAGACGACAACTGTGGTGAAATTTGAAACAAAATTCTAGTTCAATGGCTCAATTGAAACTAAGTCAAACTTTTGTGACCCAATTGAGACAACTTAAAATTTAGGGAGCTAATTAAAATTTTGGTAAAGGCTAAGTTAAAACAAATGAAATTTACCTTATTTTAAAGAGTGCTGTTATTTTAAAAACAAGACAATGACACGTAATATTACTCTATTATAATAAAGTTAAAGCGAGTTAGAAAATAAAATAAAATAAAAATATTAAAGCAACCATATATTAAAAATGTGATCCTTAAAACACTTTAGCTTGACTGAAATAATTCATTAGGAAAGTTTTATATGAAATTGTAGTTACTACCCTAAACACTGTAGCGTAAGCTTGCTCCAAGGGTCGTCAAAACGGTATTTTCTGGGCTCAATTTCACGTTATCTTTTTCTACCAAACAACCAATCTCCATGACTCAAACCCATAACCAATATATTCACCTCGATTGCTCTTCAATCTCACCCACAAAGGACAAGATAATGGTGATAATTTGTAGCTACAAAGCCAAGAAGAAAAACAATGAAAGAATGCAAGAAACGAGACCAAAATATAAAGGGAAGCCACACGTTTTTTCTCCAAAAGGAGCTGCCGATTTTCTCTCTTCTTTACACAGTTTCTTTCTTCTCTTTTCACACAAATCATCCACACAACCGCTAGAGCAAAAACATTATATATATATATAAGTTAGACTTTAGTTGGACCAATAAAAGAGGTTAAATGGATCAAGATTCAAAACCATTCAAGAAGTAATATAAATGGGTCATGAGCAACATTAATTATTTAAGTTACTTCCAACGGCCTACGTTGTTTTCGGGTTGAGCCTTTAGATTTGGTTGTTGGTAACAATTTAATCCAACGTTTACATCATCGTTTGTGATTTATTGGGTATCAAAACTCAACAAACCCTTTGGTAAAACTTTCAAATATTTATTCGGTTTTTAATCCAATTTCGACCGGTTATTAACATGTTAATCAATTAGATCAATCCAAAGCATTTATTTGTGTCAAAAAAGAAAATGAGGAACTATGTGATGTTGCTAAAGTTGATATAAGCTGGTGGGCCCATAAAATGAAACGTGTTGTCAAAAAGCAGATAAAAGTTATAAATCCAGTAAAACAAAAGCTACGTTGGAGAACGTCTCCAAAATGCAATACTTCTTTAGTTCAGAAAAGCTATGTCGAGCTCTAGATAGTCAGTTAGTTGCACATATTCAATTTCAATGAACATCGAAATAAAGATTTAAAAGTTAATTCTCCATATTCAAATCATATCATGCCACATGAATGTGTTGCAAGATCTAATATAAACATTTCTGCTATGACATACAGAAGAGGGGAGGGAATGGGAGAATGTCAGCAAAACATTATTGAGTTTCTTAAGAATAAATAAATGGACAACAAGAAGATGCATTAACACAAGGTAACCTTAAAAGCTTCGAGTTACACTGACAGACTCGGATTCATAGGCTTGTGCCCTCAAAAATTTTCCTTTCCCCCTTTTCTTGCCATCAGATTTAGCTTTTTGGGATGAATATCGAACTCTCTTTTCATACCTAATCACAGAAGAAAGTTACTAAGAGATCAATTTAGTTGAATAAATAGCCACAGAAAAAAAAATGAAATTTGCCAAAATGGAAGTAATGGACTTCTATGAAAGCCTATTCAAATTAGAGCATCTACCATGAAACTAAATCACATTAAACTTCATACACTAGCTTGGAAGCAGGGCGCAGACGATACTTAACTAATGTGGATAAATAAAATTAGGAACCATACTGCAGAATATCATCTTGATGTTATATGAATATCGACCTATGGACTTGCATTCAAACATCAAACAGTTTAGAATCGAGACATACCACCGAGCCGCCTTCCCTTTGGATTTCATTATGACATTTTCTTTACCATCCAACTTTGCATTCTCAGGAGTAGATGAATTGCCTAAGAGTAACTGTTCATTAACCTTAGGAAAAAGCCCATCATCCTTGTATTCAGTACTGCTTTCAACAGTGATCCTTGATACGGAGAATGATGATGTTGAATAAGATGGCTGAATTGGATGAGGATATTCGTTAATTGTTTGGAAGTGAAGAACTTGATCGGAAGAATTAAAAACTTTGTTTGCATCAGCAGATTGCACAATGCACGCAGAGGTAGCCCCTGAGATATCCTGTCATATAGAAGTAAAATAGGAAAGGGAACAAAATATAGAGAATGAAGATACTAAATGAAGATACTAAATGAAGCGTAATCATCAATCTCATCAAACAATTCATGACTGATCTGTTCTGTGTATATAGAAAATAGTATTCCATGTCTCAGATTACAAAGGACCTTTGTGTCAACCCGATGCTGTAATGGAAACATAAGATACTTTGATCATTTATTAACTTGCACTATTTTATCGTATGACACGGGAAACTGGCAAACATATTGAGGATTCTTCTATGATATTGGCCCATGAACCATGTTAAAGCATTCGAATGAGAGATTGGTTTCCAAATTGGATAGTACACCAAAGCTCGTTTCTGAAGTCCCTTTCATAAGGGAATCGACATATTTATTTAATTTTACAACAAACTCACTTTTAATTGAGGATTGTTGAACCACAAAATATATAAATAGTCTGATATCAAATTATGCACAGTTTCGATCGAATTCTATGGGTGAATGTAACCAATAATGTCGTTTCACAATGAAGCGTGGATATAAGACATAATTTATCCTCCCTCCTCCAACAAAAAAAGCACCAAACAACATCGACCTAGAGTTATGGCTAGGATAAAGTTTCTTATCGTCTTTTACAAGCTAACTACTGCCAGGTTGATAATTAACTAAAAACTGAGGATGAATGAGTAATTCTGAAAAGCCAAATTAGTCAATCCTGAAAACACATCAAGCCTACAAAGGCTAATTGTACACTGCAAAACATGTCAAAAACTTCATGACCTTTTTGCTCAACTTAAAAATGCTAATACTAATAAGCTTATCTGAGATGGAAGACATTTACAAATTTGGAACTTCTCAGCCATTTTATTGATGAGACTCTGAGTCTGTAGTTTCTTGATGTCTATTGACTTCCTTACTTAAATTATCAACAAATTTCTGAACTTAAGATTTTGTGGAAAATTCAGTGAACCGTGTTGAAGGATCTTGATGTATGATACATCATATATCCTATAAGATTAGAGAGCTCTTTCTCTCTTTAATAAGACATCATTTAGCACATGAGTATGACCATCAATCTTTTTTTAATGACGAATAGTTTTTAATTTCAAGGACATGAAAATGAAAAGAAGAAATTCACTCAACAGTTGTTCAAAGAAAACTTATATGCTCTGTGGATTCATAGAATTCTTAAGTTATTTTCAAGTACACTACAGCAAAACTTACGATGATTAATGAAAAAAGAACAGGCGTTTCAACCAAGAAATCACGGGGACTTCTGAGCTCCAGTAAAGATGAAAAAAAGTGCTTGAAATCTAGAATTATAGCATAAGCCCCTAAATTCACTTTTATCTTCTGTTATTCCTTATATTTCACAAAGATGATTATGATAGAAAAATAAGAAAAGAGAATAACACAAATTTTCATAAGTAATAGGTTCAGATAATTTTCCACAGATTATCCTTGGTTTTTCCTAACATTTTGTTTTTCGTACTTCATCAATAGTGCCATGCAATCTTGTTCCTTTACCACAAGTTTTGTGAGTATTACCAATTGTTTTGTCAAACCATACTGCTGTTATAGATATCAACACGCTTTTATGCATTGATAAGTCCTTGAAACTTCTTGAAATACTTCAACAGTAAACAGCAGGAAAGGGATATATCAAACCTCCATAGTTCTTGCTAGGAAACTTTCTGGTTTACTGAATGATGAATGTTTCTCTGCAAATGAGAATGACATATTTTCGTCATCGACCAAAACTCTGGTTTGCTCTTGTTCACATCCAAAGAGTTCTTCAAAGTTACGAAATGTCAAATCAACATCGGGTATGCGGAGATCATCAAAACATTGTAGTTCATCACAAACTCCAATGTCTTGCATATTTTGAGGCCAAAGCTGCAGAATTCAGGTGATTAATGGTCAATAATTATACCTTACATACCAAATATCTGCTCTAATCAAGAATTCATAAATTCATTAGTTGCATTACTACTGAGAGAACCCTGTATTCATGCATTGGTACATGTGTGCACGTGGGATTGGTGTATGTAATCATAGAACACTGGACGTATTTCAACATTACTAGTGAAAATTAATTGTGATGACAAACTACTGCTAAAGAGTCATCGCTTCAATCCTATAAATGTTTCTTGGGCACTCGCAAAGATGTAGCAGATATAAAACTAGGAAGAAACCTCATTACTGAAAGCTGGACTTTTACACTGCCAAAACGTGTCTCCCTGCAAAGAATTTTCAGTGCTTATCAAATGGCCCAGCTGTGACAGAAAAGATTCCTCAGGCATCTCCTCTTGAGGACTACCCATATATTGAATTTTATAATGTTGATCAAGTGAATGCTCCATCTGCACTTTCGACACTGCATCACCCTTAACTGATGATTGATCTGCTTTCCCTTTGCCACGTACTAAACAAGAATTGTCACTGCCCTCAGAGAGCTGTAGCCTTTTTAAATCTAGAATTTGTTGCAGAATAATGCTCATGCAAGTATTTTTCTGACAGTTATCATCCTTAACTACCTAGAAACACAAAGCACATAATCAAAAAGCAAAACTACTAAATATTGATAACAAACTTCAATGGCCAAAATTTTTGAATGGAGCCCCATGAACAGAGGAGGCTTAAAATCAATCAAACTTGTCAATCTTCTAGTTCATGGCATTAGTCCTTATACCTCGGTTTGTTGACTGCAAGATCCCTCTTCAGATTCTGTACAAAGAACAGAAACCATATGGTCAATTTCAGATACTATTGAGGAATATTTGAAGTAACATGACTGTGCAGGAATATTTGAAGTAACGACACCTGAATCTGCTGTAACTGAAGCAAAAACATAATGATCTTTAAAAATACTTTTGTTTTCCGATTCATTTAAGTCAAAACCCCACAATGCAGCAAAATCCAGGGCAGAAGGGCACCCCACATAGCTTCTGACCACTTTTTTCTGGTGTTGGGAAGAGGCGTGATGGCTATTATCACAACTTCGGCACATGAACATTTCGTGGTCAAAACATCGAACATAGACCGGTCGTCTTCTACAAGCCTCACAAACAAGAGTGCGAGGGTGGCGGCTGGAAAGAGCATTAGCAGAATGAACCTTGGCATCACAGAAGAGGCAAAGGCGTGCGGCATCAGACTTACAATACACAATTGGCCTTAATGCCATGCAAAATTCACAAATGTTCTCCATCGCCGTATTCTTCCACTCAAGGTAACCTAAAAACTAATTATGAAGTATATTCCAGTTCAAAATCAAATCATCAGCTTTCTTTCTCAATAAGAAAGGATAAATCAATAAGAGGATGTCCGAGTAATGCACTAAGATTTGGAACAGAAAATGGAACATTAAATGCTCAGGGATCTGTTAGACCTCTTATAGAATGGACTCACACCAAAAGCAACTGGAAGCAATTTAGGATTGTGAAAGGCAATTGAGTTAACCAGCAACTGGAAGCACAAAGGGGGGCAAAATAGAATCAGCATCAATTAAAAATTACAGTTCCCTAGACATTAATATCTTGTTTGATATTCAAATAGAGCATCACAGTGAAAATCAAATAACGTAATGAATATGAGATCCAACAGAACCAGAATTGAGCTAATAATAGTAAGTAGTAACATTCAAAATCAAGTATGATTCAATCCAATCCATGCACAGAGACTGCACAAGTCTTTATTTGGTTACCAAACTCAGTAGATCGTCACAGGGATGCATCATGCATGATTAAGACTTGTGGGCCGCCCTGGTCCAAAGAGAACTAGGCCACTGTTATTAATTCTCAAGGATTTTGACTTATAGGGTATCACACATGTTATTTGCTACACGGGAACAACGACATTGTTAAGACTTGAGGTTCAATCTTAAAATTTCAACCTTATTACGATGAGTAGCCAAAACCTTACCAATCTGGAATTTTTACCCATAGAATGCATAGTGAACCGTATACTTCAAACTATTCCCAGATAAATTAGTACCCACAAACCCAAAACACGAAGAATTATCAGATTAGATCATAATGCATATACCATTCTCAACTGCCATGAAAATTAAATTAAAGCTCCCAGAAATCTTAAATTCTGTATGAAATATTAAATAGACGATACACTGAACTCTTTTGACATACTAGCGAATACTATCCACTCCCGTACCAGATATGCTAAAACAGAAACCAGTTTGCAGTAATTTCTCATCGTTTTCTTCTAAGAAACTCCAAGTACAATGAACATAAATAAAAGTAGCACCAACCTGTGATCATTTTCCAAACAGTTTACTTCTTTGGATCAGCAGAAAATCAGAACCCTTGAGGCTATATCTGTATGGATTAAAAAAGAGGAAAATGGATAAAGATAATCACAGGAATGAGCAAGTATGTTCGGGCAAAAGGGCATGGGACAGGAGTTTATCTAACTTGTTTGTCCCGCTGTCCTTTAGAAGTCACTTTTTGGTCTGACATGGCATAAAGTGGTAATTTGTAGTGGGGCTAAAAAGCGTTATCTTCCTGCACGTGAAAATGCGATTCTGATCCAATAGTTGCCGAGTGAGCCAATGCTCAAATGCCACGTATGGAGAAGGATTAGAGTCCACAGCACTCAAGTATGGGGAACGAGATAATGGAAGCAAATGCTACGATACTCTCATTGCAAAATTGACTATGCCGGAAATGTATCTCTCGATCACATTCTCCACGAAGGCATGGGCGGACCTAGGAGGGTCCTGAGGGCAAGTGCCTCCAACTTTTGAGGTTTTTTTTTTTTATAAAATCGTGTTTGGTATCAATTAAAATCTAAATTTTAATCTAAATTAAAGTTAACAATTAATTTTAATAACATATTTCATGGAATCCATAACTGTTTAACTTTTATCAAAATTTACTAAAAAATTGATTTTAATCTCCACCAAACATGGACAAAATCACATTAAATCAAAATTAACAATTAATTATAATAACATATTTCATGGAATCCATAACTGTTTAACTTTTATCAAAATTTATTAAAAAATTGATTTTAATCTCCACCAAATATGAGCAAAATCACAATAAATTTGAATTTCGATCATGCTAATTTTAAAAATTCTCCGACGATCATACGCTAATCGAATCTATAAATTACTTATATCATCTCAAAATTTATTTCGAAAACTACATTATGGACATATCGAATAGTCCAAACAGATATCGAAAATAGTTAAGGGCTTGTTTATTTTTTATTTTCAAATTTTACAGTAAATCAATTCTCATTATCAACCACACATTCTTTAATAAAATAATATTTTTCATCACATCAATAATTTTTTATTCTTTTTCATCCACACATTTCCCATCATATCACTATTCAAAAATCAATTCTTTTCCCAAAAATCCCTACCAAACAAGCACAAAAAATAGTTAAACATGAGTTTTAAAAAAAGACGCATAACTCGCATTTTTTAAAAAAATTCAATTATTTCATTAACATTTATTATTTTTGCGATACAAATTTCTCAATGTAATTTTCATTATTTTATTAAGAAATTTTATATGAAATATGATATCAAAAAATTTCGAAATTTTACATTCGAAAAAGTCATATCTAATGTAAATTTTAGGATGTAAAATTACATATGTATGATTTTTTTGGACGTAAATTTTCGATTGTAAAATTTACCTCAACTTCTTTGCAAGTTCGATTGTGTCCCCTAACTTTTAAAGTTTGCGTCCGCCCCTGCTAGAATGAGACCTTACTATTATTTGTAAGCATGGATACATTATCACTGTACTCCAAATTGGTGAAAAAACGTAGGGGATCATTGACCTTATGTTCCAATTACAACTGGTCCTTCAATTTTGATTTCGTCTCAATGGATCATTGAATTTATTATTTAGTTTCAACTTGGCTTTTGTTTGAGTTTGGTTTGTTTTTCTTAAATGTTACTTTTCAAAATCAAACATTTATTTAGCAAAATTTAATGAAACCCCAACAAAGGCTTTGATGTCCTTTTTTCTAGTGGATGTGCATAGAATGGCTATATTGGAATTGAATAATGTTATTCAGCCTTATTTATGTTTAATTTCAATTATGTGGTAGTTGGGATACCGCTACATTGTTAAAAAAAAATTCACATTATAACTTTATGGGACAATGTGATAGTGATTGCACTGCCACATAAACTAGTGATAAATACGGTGGTACGGTGGAGCTAAATATCATTACTCATTGGTGTTTGGAAAATGTATAAATGGTTTAAATTATAAATAGATATAAATGAGTGGATAAAAGTAGGTATCACTTGTTATTTGTATTTGAAAACTCGCATATAAGATGGACAACAAATGATTTGTCATTTTCGCGTGGACATTAATGACATATTTGATATTAGACAAAGAAGTTAAAAATATAATTCATCAAATCATTTACGGATAGACATTAATGATATTTAATTATAAAATTATTCGATAATACATATCAAACACGATATAAGTGTAGACCTCATCAAATGTAGTGTACATGCTTATGGCTATTGTAGTTTATTAAGTTAATGGTCTACATCAAATATAAGGTATGAATTTGAATCTAGAGTACTAAACCTATTTCTGAATTTATTGGATTGCAGTTCACAATTAACCTCAAATTTATTAAGAATAAAACTTGATTTGTTGTTTTATTGGACTCAAGTGTAGATCAGGTCCATATCAAGACCTAGCTCACTAAAATGTGTGATCCTAACATTTCTTGAGAGCAATTTCTTCTGATTTCACTCCCTAGCAGTGATGTCTTCCAAGTGGAAATAGGGACCTGTCAAAGACAGCCCTAAGTGAATGTGCATGCTTCTATCTTCAAAGGCATATTCCCACCCAAGATCTCATAAATGTTTAACAAGTTCGATTGTTGGACAAAGGAAAGTTAAAACAACAAGAAAAAGTATATCTTAAACAAGGTAAATGTGTTGTGTGTTTCGAGGGAGAAAGGGAGCTGCCTATAACAAGTTAAAAGATATATTTCGTGCATTTGACTAGACTAGAGGTGATAACAGACAAACACATCCCGATTCTGTCTAGTTTAGCATATCAAACGTACTCGAAAATGCTCAAGTTTAATAATTTTAGTCCCTGATATTTCACTATAACCGATGAGCAACTGAAAACTCAAGGGATCAAAGTGATCAGATCGTAACTTTAGCAACTAAATGAAAGTATTTTGAAAGCTTTTGTATACCATTATTTAGCGCTGAATGTTTAATTTCATGCAGGAAGGGACAATGATGAACAAATTGAAGAAAAAACTTGTCAGATTAAAGTTCACACAAAAGCCCAACAGAAGAGTAGCATTCATAGATCAATAACTGTGAACAAGAAAGTATTATGAATGAAGAAAAAGATGGGACAAGTACAAAACAGGAGATTTGAGTTGAAAGAAATTAATCCCTCTAAACATACACAGACCATTGATACAAAATGGAGGGCTGAGGAACAAAATGGCAGCGAGAAATCGACAAAATTAGCGGGGGATAATTTGGATATGAACTTCACGTCAAACTCCAGAAAGCCTTAAAAACATGGGGTAAAGAAAGTACTGCACCTAATGATTTCTAGACTACAATTTGAACTTTGAAGAACATAATTTTATTGGTTATTTTTATTTGTTCTCTTCTTCTGTTAACAGAAATTGTTTGACTTACAATTCTTGCTTTGTTCTAAGCAACTGCAAAGGCTGATGAGTCTACCTTACCTCACAGTGCACCATGTTTCCAGCCATTTGTAGGTTTGAAACTTACCTAGTGATCCTAGCTACTCATCACTCATCAAAAAGATTTGATTTGGCCGTAATTATGAGTGAAATGTTCTGTTTTTTATAAGCACGATATTTTCTGAAAATTATGTTATCAGCAAGAATTTTTAATCTATAGAATACACATGTTTGGTAAGGAGAATTAGACGGTCCGTACTAAACATGCACTTGTAGAATAAGTAGAATTGTTTGCTTCAATCTTACTGTTAAACTCTCTTTAGTTGCACATTCTAAACTCTGCATGTCCTTTTTCTAGTATAGGGTATCTATTTTCTAATACTGTCTCTTTTACTTAAAAATATAGAGAGAAAATGTGATGTACAAATTCATCACATCGCCAATTCATGATAACTAAACCAAAGATCCAAAATCAAAGTCGAACATGAATTTGAGGGATCATTGGGTGTACAAAAGTTTGGCACAACAGTGATAAGCAATACCTAGCAACAAGTTAAACCTCAACATAGTATTGGAAGCACGGATTTGCACAACGTTGAGACACTTGGAAGACTGTTTGAAAATGCAAAATCATCCAGCGCCACTAAAAAAATGCTGATAAGGGAGAGCCAAATGCTGCTACTTCATATGGCATTAGTCAAAATAGAAGCCAAATGAGAAAAGAGCCTTGGACATGAAGTATGTAGTGCAAATGGGTGATGATGTTACCATAGATTATGCTGGAGAACTTGGAAACTCAATTTCTGCAAGCAAAGAACTAATGCTTTTTGCCTCAAGAAGACAAGAAATAATAATGATACTGGTAAACTATTGTAATCAAAGAGGAAATTTTTCAATAGCACACTGATTGGTCAATTTCAAATGATATTATCAAAGTTATTGAATGGATCGAATTTTATTGTGCATTTCTCTCTCTCTCTCTCTGATTTTCCAAAGTAATACTTATCCATTAAAGGCTAATAACATGTTAAATCATAATGTATCGATGCTTCCAGTTCAATCATATTGGCAATAACATCTCTGCAGTTTCAAAAAATCCAGTTGTTCTTAAATGCCTGGAATGTTCCAAGAAAGGCATGTTTCAACAACACACCATGAAGAACAACACAAACAAAGGAAGATTCTGCAAACACAAAAAGCATACTTAAGATCTTTGATAACTAGGTGAAATAAAGTTCACGCCGCAAAAGGGGCCAATAAATGGGTTTTCATTTAATATGGGGATCTAGGATAGTAATATATCTTGAAAAAGACTTAAAATTGTCACTCTTAACAGGTAAAACAAAATTTAATCCAATATGTAATAATATTTGTAAAAAATCCCTTCCACCTTGCATTGAGACACGTGCAAGAACAAGTTCACTTTTTACTGATAAAGGCTCTTGAAGAGCCCATTTTTGCGTTTTCCCTGCTTGTAATCCATTTTGTTCCTTCCTAAATCAATTATCATTGGTGAAGTTCACTTTTTACTGATATAGGCTCTTGAAGAGCCCATCCTTTTTTGTGCAAAGACTGGATTGAGTGCGCGGCTTTCTGATTGCAGATTTATATTTATTATTATGTCCATATATAATCCCCAGATATTAAGCTACCTGAAGTGGAAAAACATCTGGTTTTATTTAGTAACATATTTAAAGGTATTAAAGGTACAATCCACAAATTTTTATCAATCCTGCATTCATTTTTGCTCTCATGCAGTCCCAACACCTTTCCGAGGCCTTTGGTTGTTGTGGTTGATAATGACACAACTTCCTTGATACACACAGCATCAATTCTTGAAGAATTACAAAGGTACAAAGTATATAGAAAGAAATTCTAATTTTCAATCACCGTTACTAATTTTTTCAAGCATTGGACACGGTGAATTATCTATAAATCAGTATACTCTTTTGTACATCTTAATACTTTTGCATGAATCACAACTAAACTAAACGAATACTCCTTTTTTTTAGTCACAACCACTGAACTAGCAGCAGTTGCCCTGTGCATTCTCCAAGAACTCGCCAATCAGGTCGACCATGTCATGGCTGAATTTAACATGTCAGAAATGGACTGCTTTGAATTTCTAGAAAGAATACAGCTTATCAAGGACTGCACTCTCATTGGTAAGATCTAAATTTCTTTACAAAGTTCTCTCTTTTGTGTACGATTTTTGTTCTAATAATATTTTTGTTCAGTGACGTCCTCCACAGAAAACAGGGATTTAGTGAAGAAAGCCTTGGCAAAAGGGGTATGCTTCTTTCTTAGGAAACCAATATCCTCAGAGAATCTCAAGAATGTGTGGCAACATGTGTGTAGGAAGAGAAGGTGCTGAAACGAATCATGCTACATGTACATTTTATTTGTCAACAAGTTTGACATTGTGCCACGTGTCTTGATATTATTGGACAGTTTTTAAATAAAACACATATTCTGGCCCATTTCAATTTGAAATTCAATGGAATGTAAACCACAATGTACACGAGTTTGTACAAGTGGTTTTATCCAAACAATAATATGAAAGAAGTAATCAAGACATGGGCTGATCAAGAAATCGACTCTGAAGGTGCTACTATAGAAGAAGAGGGCAATGTCTTTAAAACTGACGAAGTGAACCCAAAAAGGGATCGGTTGGGATGACGAGCAAAACAAGAATGCTCTGGAGGCCTTGTAGATAAAATGAGATCAAAAAAATCACCAGAAATTAGCATAAAAAAATCAAGGTCAGCAAAAAATAATGAACTGGTGGAACTCAAGAGAACCTGTAACAATGATGTCAACAAGAAAAAAAACACGAGCTGCAGGTAGTCGATCAGTACAAGATAACCCCAATAATGTGAAACCTTTAAAAGGAATCAATGTGAAGAAGTCATCAACTCATTATGAGAAAAAGATGTAGCGTGCGAGGGAAAGTTTACATAGTCTACATCTGAACCTGATAAGTGATCTACTTGTGCTCCGTTATATCTCTCTTTCTTTGTGCATGTTTCTGTATTCAGATGCCAGCTCCAAAAGAGCACTAGAAAGGATGAATGTGCCTAATTTAACAAAACACCAGGTTGCTCACTGTCTGCAGGTATCAAGTGGACCATTGCTTAAAAAAATGCATGATTGTCATTTCCTTTAATGCAATTTGATACTCGTGTCATATGCTGATTCATTCATGTTAAAGAGTTCATCAAGGAATCGGTAGGCATCTGGCACAGGGAAAAAGTATGCCATTAAACGTCGTGTAGATTCTGATATATATCCTAAGCTTATAAATTAGACTGACATTAGTTGTTTATATAAGGTAATTAGTGATAACAACCTAATATTTAGAGTTCCAGATACCATTTTATGATAAAGATAAAGAGGATATTACGGGATCTAATTGACTATATCAAGGGATTTTCACATTTGTAAATTATGTAATCATCTTTAATTGATTTGTAATTATGCCTAATTTGTTTAG